GGCAGGTTGCAGTCGCCGTCGCCTGCTCGCGCCTTGGAGGCGCACCCCGCGCCACGGCAGCGCGACCCGAGGCAGCTTGGCATCGCCGAGCACGGCGGGAGCGAGCCGTGGCGAGGATTGTTTTGCGCATCGCGAGGGCCACGTGATCGGTCAAGTCTCGTCACAGCAGTGGACCTTCTGCTAAGAGGTTGAGTCGTGCAAGCAGGCGGACACGCGGTCTATGCCGCACGTCGGCCGGTCATGGGACATCCTACTGCAAGGGTAATGGTTGTAAGAGTATCTGGCGCAAGCAGCAGTCCTACATGTAGGAGGCACCGAGGACGCATAAGGCATGTCAAGCACAGCATGACGAACTCAAGAGAGTGATCGAAGGGTGATGTTGCCCACAGAGCAGCACGCCATCAAACATCACCGATACTGCGAACCTCCCTCAGCAGGACTTGCCCTGACGGCATTTCGCAAGGACTCAGAGGGCAGGGTGTTCAAGCTGGCAGAGTTGATCGCGCACGGGAAGGAGGTAAGGACAAGTCTAGCAGTATTGAAGTGGCCCGTGTGGTGTCTCAAGCCGAAGGAGATCAAAAGGAAACAGTGCAAGGCTCAGGTAGCAGCACATGCGGTAAATCATCGTGGTGTTATTGAGAAACGCCGGTGAAAATAGCAATCAGGTGATATGTATATATATATATATTATATATGGTGAATGTGTGTTATCCTATTCGAAGGGCCGCTTGCCAGAGGCGACGGATCATTGAGGAAAACCAGCGGTGGAGTTGAGCTCTGGTGGCGACGATACTGAGCTTGTGAAGCGACGCGCAATGCGTCCGCAAGAGTTGTAATGACTGCCAGGACTTCATCTTTCATCCACCTCTGGGGTACATCCGTGTAGATTCCATGTTTCGCAAGTGAGTTGCTCATTTCGTCTGTAGTTGTGTTTGCGCAGCTGATAACTGCACATGTCATCCCTGGAAGATCATGGCATCTTGTTTTTTGTCGGTCGATGGCCAGGTTGCGCAGTCCGTCGCCATAAATCACCAACGTGTGATTCGAATGTATAGTTCCATTTTTTTTTCTGTTCAGTCGATATCTTTTATGGCGCACGCACCACGGGGGACGATCACCCAGCATCGCTAGTCGCTGTGATTGGTTGTGCGCAGCGAAACTGCATCCTTGTAGCTGCATGTTCTTTGCAAGTTGTCGTATGCAGCTTTTCGTTGATGCTGCTTCGGTGTGGACTGCGCGGTGAATATGCGGACTCACGGGCCTGGCATCCAACGGGGTACAGCTGTTCAGCAACCTGGCCAAGGGCGTTTCGCACAACCACGGACGGAACATGATTGCGAAGGCGATGGGGATGTCGTCAGATCAGCTTGGCACGAAACATGTACACGATCCAGGTTCATCTTCAGCCCCGCCACCATCAGCAAAGCCAGCTTAAGGATCAGCTTCGCCAGTACCAGCACCACATTCACCACCGCTTCCACCATGTTACCACTACCGTGCGGGCGCGCCCCTTGCGGACCCGATGGCTGCTGTCACCCCAACGGGTGACGCGCGTCATCCGAGGCGCGCTGCTTCCGTACTCGGGGGTAACGAGGGTATTCATGGAGGCAGCGTCGCGACGCGATTGGGGTTGAAGAGCAGGAAGCAGGGCGCAACCATGGCGCACTTCCAGGCAACGCCGATGGCGAAAAAGGGGTTTAGTTCGTCGCGCCTCCGATGGTCATATTCCAGAAACTCTATGCGACGTTAGCCTCGTCGACGACGCCTGGTTCTTGCCCCGCCCTGCTGTTATTCAGGCAACTGGCGGTGCAGGCGCGCTTGCAGATGCTGTTCCCGGAGGGGTGCTCTGCCACTGGCGCGCGATGAACGACAGCCCATCACAGAGATCAGTGGTGATAGTGCCTGGGTTGGGGGGGCAACAAACGTAACAACCATAGGAATCATTCGGTCCATGGTGCTAGTTTTCCCGAGTAGAATGCCCGCGGTTATTCTGCCACTGCGCGCGTCTACCTGTGCGCGCGTTTGGATGGGAAAGCTGGTTCGGGAGCGCGAGTTGCAGCGCAATGTAAAACAGCGGGCTGGTGCTCCACCATTGCGAAGAGCGCGCAGGCGACTTGGGCGCCGCAGTCGAAACTCAGCATTTTTTGTTTGCGAATGGGCTGCTGACATGTTTGTGCGAGGCATGGCCAGATCTTGCTGCCAGCTCAAAACACCAGGCTGGATCAGCTTATCGTGTTCTTACTTCGCATCCTCACGAGTCGCGCCCATCGCGCCGAGACGGCCGAGTGCGCGTCCGACCTGCTTGCCTTGGCCACGTCGCACCGCAGCCGGCCTTTATCCATATTGAGACAACGGTGGCTTTCATGTGTTGCGTCGCTACCTCTTGCGCTCCGATATGCTTTTAGCTTATGTTGGCCATCTTGCAGATTAGCACAGGTCGTGGGTGTCCGTTATGTTGGTGGATCTCCGTTGGATGGCCACCTTGAACTGCTACGGCGTCTCAGCGCGACTACGGCTGTATGCTGCAGAGGGTTTGGAAGAAGGGGCTGCAGATCGAGCGGGGCCAGCTGCGCGCTGTACTGATGATGGGACAGGGCACTTCGATTTCGATTCCAGCCCCGCCCTTGCCGCCGCGAGAGGCAAGGTGCATCTGTGGTGCATGTGAGTTGGCATTTCGCGCGCTGGCTGCGCAGGGGCGTCGCCCGCTACAGCGTGGCCCGACTGATTCTGCCCAACTCATGGCGCTTGGAGCTCAGTGCGACGGCGCAATCTGTGGCGCGCCGTTTGCTCCGTTTATGGTTGAAAGGTTTGGGAAATGCGGGTCGGCGCCTCGTCGCTCGGCTGGAGCTGCCCAGGGCCCCGACAGGCCGCGACGAAGCCGAACTGCTGAGGGGGCAGGACCTCGCCGACGAACTCGCGCAGGCCAAGCAGGGTTACCATTGGAAGAAAGCCCTGAGACATGTGGTGCATGGTGATGGGCTAGGAGGTCGAGGTTACGCCGTTGTTCCACCGCGGGCGCCTGAGGTTCGGATCGCGGTAGCGCTGGCATCCCAGCCCGTAGTCAAGCGCGTTGCTCAAGGATCTCGCGCGAAGACCTTCGCCATCGGGCGCCGTCGATCCCCGTGGCGCGGAGACGTTGGAGATCGGGCTGCTTCTTATTTGAGAGGGCGGGTTCAAATTGAATAACGCCAAGGTGATATTGCCACTGCTTCATGTCCGGACTCCGATCCCGGTCGGGAATATGCGCCCCCATTCGCCGCGTCTCAGTATGGCGCGCTAGTGCAGCGGATGCAACGCGGAGGAGTTGTTGCTACTGTTGCTGCCGGGCCGGATCTGTCATCTAGGTCACGTGGTCCAGCGGGAAAACATCGGGGATTTACTGAAGTACGCGCACCTGATGAACCTTGGGGAGTGAGGAACTTTGGCGGAATAACACATTGCAGGCGAGTCGCCGTAATGAAGAACTTCGAATGGCATGGCGTCCTTTTGCTCTCCTCATTTGGTTTGGGTATCCCCGCATGTGCAGTTATGCTGTGGAACGTGTTTCGTGAATCACGGTGGCTTTTGGGTTCCGTTCCACGTGATGTTGCTGCTTCTGGCCGTGTTAGTGGTCGCGTAGCTGATCAATCCATGACGGGGTGCCCAGGGCCCTAGAGTTTGCTCACGTCGCTATCGTGGTGATCGACGAGCTCGCGAATGGCGGCAGGTGCGTTCATGGCGATCACGCTGGTGCTGAAGAGCATCTGTGTCGCGCCTGGCTCAGAGGCATCTCAGGCGCGTTGGCCCGTGCACTGTTGGAAGGTCGCCCCAGTGCGCTGGCCGCAGTGACTCTCTAGCCGTATCTTGTTTTCCTGTTTTATTTTCCAGGTCAGGTACTTGCACCATCTTTGTTTCTCATCAACCCTTGTCGGGGTTGCCTCATTGTGTTGCTCCTATCGCCGCTCGTGCTCGTGCTCCGCGAACTCGTATTTGTAGGAATAAGGCACCTTGGCGATTAGAGGCCCATGGGGGACGACAGCAGCAGTGGGCGCACGAGTGGTTGGCGCGGCGGCGGTGCTTCGGCGCGTCGTCCCCAGCGGGCGTTTTCGCCGGCGAAGCCGTGGAGGAGAAACCAGCGGCCGTGGTTGCGGATGAGGAGTGGCGAGGGGCTCCGCGACGCTGACTCGGCGACCGAGCCGGGGTTCGATCCGAGCTGACGCCTGGAGGATGATGAGACGGAGCAAAAGGACCTGACGAGGAGGAGGCCTCTCGGGGCCCTCCAGGGCCCGCCTGGGGGGGGGGGGTTGTTAAGGGCTTCGGAATGGGCCTCTGCGGGGTCTTACGGGCCCTTTGAAGGCCTCCAGGGGGCTTGTTTCGGGCCTTTGGGGGCCTTTGGGGGCCTTGTAGGCGCTTGTAGGGCGTCGTTGGGGCGCTATTGTTGACAGATTGAGTGTCTGGGGGTAACCAATGAGGGACATGCTTCCAAGGCCAGTTCAGTTTCCCATCTTGGGTCCCTCTTAGTGCCATTTTAGAAGTTCGTCTTGGTGGCCTTGGTACCGTCTTGGTGGCCTTTTGGCCCTCCTTGGGGCGATTTTTGGGGCCTCTCGTGCGGTCTCAGAGCGTTGGGAGTCAGACAAGGCGAACATGCCGACACACAACAAATTCGGTGGCGCGAGGTGCAATGTGTTTGACATCCTTGGACCTGTTTGGGGTCACCTTGGAACCCTCTGGCGTCTCGGGTGCCTTTTAGCTTGTCTTAGGGCAGGACCGTCTCGGGGCGCTCGGACTGGAGACGTCGCGAGGCTTGCTGGACCGTCCTGAGGCCCCGCTGCTACACTCTGAGCCCCTTCTGGGGCTCTCAGACCTTGTGAATAGTCGCGCAAGCAGCCCCCATAATGCCCCAGAGATCGGGGAATCGGGGCTCCGGGCCCCTTTAAGGGGCATTTTAGCGTGCTCGGCAAGGACTCTCAAGGACCCACAGACGCTCGACTCAGTGCCCTCTGGCACGGTGGCGGATATAGTGCAGCCTGCGGCCGTGCGTGGGTCGTCCTTTTGACGGCCTTGGCAATGCTTCCTTCAGCTTGCGTGGAATGCGCTTGCGTTTATCTTGCCGCGCCCGGCATGCGTCTCAATCGCTTTTTCGCGTCCGTTCCTCCGCCCTCCTTCCTCGACTCCCCCGACTTTCCCCGATCTCCGTCCGCCCTCCCGTGCCACTGGTTCCCCCGCGTGCTTTATGTAGCCACAGCCGTCCCGAAGGGGGCTGGGCGCCCCCCCGGAAGGGCTGCCAGTCGCCCCCCGGGAGGGGGATGCCAGTGGAATCAGATCGTGTGCACTGTAGTGACCCTCGTCCGGGATGTCGTGTGGCAGCGCCTGCCTCGACGGAGACGAACATCCGATCCTCACATCTAAACACGCCCTTGCCCACGAGACGGCAAGCTCGAGGGTGTCGTGCGCCAGCTGCCTCGGGGGCTTCCCCAGGGAACGCCCTCTCGCCGCTGTCCATGCCTTCGGCTCGCTCACCCGTGTAAGCCCTTAACCATGTGTTGTCCTTAGTCGTGTCTTGGATGCTGCTTCTCTGTTTCCTCGTGCGCGGTGTCGCGGGCCGGAGAGGGTCGCTCCAGGGATTCGCGTGCCGCCCGAGGCGAAGATCGATGAGGCGAGTCGCATGTCTGCTGGGGCGGCGAAACCGAAGACACCCGGTGCGGGGACATTGAAGGGTGCGTTGTTCTGCTTCCCCGAACTGTGCGAAACTTTCTATTTCGACCAGCAGACTACAGTCAAAAACCTTAATAAGGACGCGCGACTTTGCTCAGAGTACCTTTGCGTCCTTGCTCTTCCTTGCTCTTGCGTCTCCGTCCTTCCTTGGTTTCGTCTTGGGGTTTTCGTCGTCCGCCGCCCCAAAAATCCCAACTTCGGCTTCCAAGGGTCTTACGTCCTAACCGCGCGTCCGTATTAGAGTTTTTGACTGTAGCGCTACCCGACGGAGACTGCGTTCATTCCCAAAACAGGGCTTGCATTTGGGGATTCTTACTTCTCGTCGCCCAGTCGCCGCCTTGTCGCCGTCCCTCGTCTGGGCCTGGCTGTCGGTCTTGCGGCGATGTTGTCGCCGTCGCCGTTCCGTCACCGCCTGGTCGCCGCCCTAGGTTGCACAACATATAGTGCATCGCACAGATTGCCCAACATAGGCTGCACCGCATTGATTGCACCACATAGGTCGCACCACATAGCTTGCACTTCATAGATTGTGCACCACGTGGATTGCACAACATAGATTGCGCCACGTAGACTGCACACCATATATTGCACAACGTAGGTCGCACAACACAGAGTGCACCGCATGTATTGCACCACTTAGACTGCGCCACATACGTAGCTTTCGCGACACATCTTAGACTGCATAGAGTGCCCCATATGGATGGTACAACAAATTCTGCACCACATCGAGTGCAACACATATCGCACCACGCATATTGCACCACATATATTGCACCGCATACATGGGTTGTACGCCATCGATTGTACCACATAGTTTGCACCGCCTAGAGTGCACCACGCAGCTTGCACAGCACACGGTGAGAGGCATCGGTTGCACCATACGGGTCGCACAACATCGAGACGACGAGCAGCACGACATCCGCTGGCCTTCTCTGAAGACGGCGCCACCTGGGGGCGAGCCCCTCTCCACCTCCGCCACATTCATGGCTCTGTCCGTGTCTTTCTTGCCCTCCTTCCTCAATTTCTTTTTTGCAGTGGCCCTCCCCCTCTTCTGCACAACCCTTGCTTTCGCCCTCCGCCATCACCTCCTTCATCTCAGCTTCGGTCCTTGCTCTCGCCCTCTGGCTTGATGGAGGCGTTCGAAGAGTCTTGAGCACTAGACGAGCCATGGAGTTGATGCAGCCAGAGTCCACAGGGAGGGATCGCGCGCAACGGCATGCCAAGCGACCCTCGTGAATTTGAGGAGGAATGCCAGGAGGAGAAGGAGGAGGACAAGGACGAGGACCAGGACAAGGACGAGGGCGAGGACGAGGAGGACAAGGAGGAGGAGGAGGAGGAGGAGGAGGAGGTAGACGAGGAGGAGGGGGAGGACGAGGAGGAGGAGGAGGAGGGGAAGAACGGAGGAGGAGGGCGTCGATGGGAACCACGACGGCCGCGGTTGCATGATTTACTGGTGTGCTGGTGTTCGCTGTCGCTTCGGGGTGCAGGCATCGCCCCTCGTTGCCAAACATCTTCAGCGGATTCGCTTTTTGCAGTCGTGCTGGTCTCTTCCCTCCTCCCCTTCCTCCTCCTCATCCTTCCTCTTGCCCCTCATCCTTCCTCCTTCCGTAGCCATTTTGGGTCAAGTCCGGAGTGGGCGGTTCAGACAAATTATGAGTGGCAAGGCGGAGGTGCGCCTTCACTTGCGCTCACTGAGCGTTGCGTTCAGGAACTTTCATTTGTGAGTTCCTGTCGGGCAGCATAGATATGTGGGGGATATATCTATATACATATATCTATATCTATATATATATATGTAGGTACATGTCCCCTTACTCAGCTTGTGTGTGCCAACGGGCATGACGGCGATTTATGTTGTGAGCTCTTTTGGGAGCCCTTGGGAAATAATGACGCAAATAGCTACATATTGATCGGGTTGTCGCTACCGCTGGAATCGGAAGTCGAGGGCGTTGTGCTTCCATTGCAACGCCCCGCTCGCCCCGCTCGAGGTGCCGTGGCGTGATGCGGCCCAAGGTGTCTGGGTGGTTGGCGATGGTCGATCTCCCGCGCAGCTCAAGTCGCGGCTTGGCGATTTGGCTGGTGCAGCCGAGCTTCAGGCGCTCGAGAGTGCCATCAGGCCGCAGCAGCGGCCAGCCAAGCCGCCCACGGCGCTCCTCCTCGAGGCCGAGGTGTCGGCCAAGGGCGTCGCTCTCCGCCGTGCCGAAGCCTACCTCGACCAGTGCGTGGCCAAGGAGGACGAGGCGCGGGCTTGGCTTGAAGAGTGTCGAGTGGCGGCGGCGGCGGCAGAGGCGGCTGTCAAGGCCAACCAGGCGTGGCAAGCCGAGTTGCAGCACGAGCTCGACAGGGCTGTTGGCGCGCGCTCTGGTCAAGCCAGCACGACGCCGGCCGCTGCGATCCTTGCGGGCTCGCAGATCAACTTGTCGCAGCTGCTCAACGCCGAGGCTGGGATCGACTCAGTGGAGATCGTCGATGGCGACCTGCTCGATCTCACGGACCTCGGGGCGGAAGAGGCCGATTGGAAGCGATGGCTCGACCTCTAGGCCAGGATTGGGAACGCCATGTTAGCTGCCATGGGCTCCATTGCAGAGAACATCCAGAGGCTGCGGCAGGAGGCTAGAGAGATGCGCCAGCGGCTCTCCTCCAAGCGTGCCAGGAAGGAGGAGCCAGCCGCTGCGGTGGCCCCAGCAGCCGCCCCTCCTGTGGCTACGGAGGGTGCTGGCGCTCCCCCTCCTGCTGGCGTCGCCGCTGACGCCTATGCCGCAGCGTTGGCGCATCCAGTGGAGCGGCCTCTCCTGCTGCCAGCGTCGCTGCCGCCTCAGCCAGTGGAGTCGCCGCCCCCGCCAGCGACCGGACTGCCGCAGCCATCCAAGCGGCTCGGCAGCGGGTCGAGGCCAAGACTAGCTTTTGACGGAGACGCGCAGTTCACGGGTCTTCCTCCTCCTGGTGGCCTGCAGCAGCCGCGGCCCGACCCTGATAGGGCCAGGAGGGACTTTTTGGCCATGGCGTCTGGCTGGGGTACGCGGTGGGCGTGGAATTTGGCTGGCCCAACGCACTCAGAGTAGCCGCCGTGGATGGGCCAGTGTGAAGCCTGGCTGGCCGTGGTCCTGAGGCAGCCTGCCGGCGCGGAGCTGGCGGCAGCGTTGGCGCGGCGCTTCGGCCCAGTGGCGAGCCTCAGCCAAGGCGTGCGTGTGTGTGTGTGTGTTTTCTGTCCTTTCCTGCTTCTTCTTCTTCTTCTTCTTCTTCTTCTTCTCCCTCCCGGAGCAATCACCAGAAAGCATGGGCCCGTGGAGAGGGGTCGCCGCAACGGGTTCATCGACGTGATGGGGCTGCGGACCCAGGCCGCGTGGGGGAAGATCGCTCGCCATCGCCGTGACAGCTGCAGAACGTCACCAAAACGTCCCAGGCTCTGCTGGACCGTCGCGGGCGGGCTGCCTGCTCGGGGCGCGCTGCCGTCATTGGGGGGCCATTCGGCCGCTGGCCTGGGCGGGCCCCGAAGAGGGAGGTGTGCGTTGTTTTTTCTTCGGCGAGAAGAGCATTTTTAACCGTCGAGCAATAAAACAAACCCGCGCGAAATCGAACCATGCATGTGGAGTGGACGTCCGAGCGATGGCAAGTACCTCTCGTCCTAGGGGGTCGCGAGCTTGCGTGGGAGCCCGCAGACGCGCGGGCGGTCGATAACCCCCCCCCCCCCCCCTCGGCATCGGCGCCGGGCCGCTCACGAGCGGGTCGCGGCCCCAGGGCCGAGCCGCACCTCCCGCGCTGCTCTCGGCGGCCGGGTCGCAGCGGCAGGCGTCCCCCGCAGCTCCATGGCGCGGTCCACGGGCCCCAAAGTTCTCTCGGAGCCGAGCGCCGCGGACGTCGAGCCCAAGATCTACGACGTCGTTCTTTTTCAGGAGCACCGCCTCGAGAGCCCCGGATTCGCGGCGCCCCGCTCTTGGGCCCAGAAGGCGGGCGGCATCTCCACCCTTGGCTCGGCGGCGTGGACTGGATCTGGCGTGCGCGAGACGTCAGGTGACGCTGCGATAGTTGGTTGGTCAAGTCGCACTTCGGCGCAGCGGACCTTGTTCATCCTCGGCGGTTCAGCGAGGTGGTCGCTGAGGCCGGCGTCCCGTTCCTCATCGGCGGCGATTGGAATGTCCACGCTGAGGACTCGCGCCAGTCGCAGTGGACGGCTCGTCCGGGGGCCAGTGTTGCGCGGCCTCCCGGGGCCGCGTGCCGCGATCGGTGCTGCGGCTCTCTCGTGGTCAGTGCTTGCCTGGACTGCTGCGCGCACCGCTGCTGGGCAAGCCGTGGGCGCGCCAGTCGGACCTCATCGGGCAGTTGAGGTCAGGCTTCGCGGCTTGGCTGGCCAGGCCAAGGTCTGGATGCGCGCGGCGCCTAGGCCTTTCCCGTTCCCCTCGTCGAAGGAGGAGGGGGGCGTTTTTTCTGTCATTCCCCCCGCGTCTAAAACAAAAACGGCGGTGAAAGCGTGTCCAGGGCGCAGCTGTACCGCTGGTCAGTCTTTTTGAATGGCACTAGTAGAAGGCGCCAGAGGCCTTGCGCTCGACTTTTCTGGCCCTACTTGATAGCGTTGATCAGATCGGCCCCCTGGCCGACATGATCCAGGCAGTCTCTCGCAGGGTGAATCTGGGGGCGGCTGGAGGGCCACAGAAATGGAAGTCATAGGCCCAGCTGTCGTCGAGCGGGGGTCTCGGGTGCTCACTTGTTCAGCAAAGGCACAGCTCCTACCCCCTGCCCGTTTTTGCGTCGGCCGACGATGCGGAGTTCGAGGTTCCGCCCGTTTGCCCCTGCCCGCTGTTGGGGCAAGATGCC